TTGAAATCACCTCACCATCACCACCCCCCCCCCCCCCCCCCCCACTACCATCACCATTACCACTCTTTACCACCCCCACCCCACCACCACCTCTAACACAATAACCACCCCTGGTCATCGCCACCACCAATACCGCCACCCCACCACCTTCATCACCATACCCACCATCCACCACCACTATCACTACCACCATCACCACCACCCCATCACTGCCACTGCCCATCACTACCGGCATTGCCTCACCACTACCCTCCCCCTCCACTGCCACCCCCACCACCATTGTCACCCACTATTGATTGCTACCACCGTCGTCCAACGCCATCATCATTGTCATCTCATTCTTATATTTATTATCGATACCACCATTATCCCACTACCATAGTCGCCCACTGTCAACACCCACCACTCACCGCCACCCACTATCATAACCCACCATCACCTGTCATCATCCACCATCGTCGCCAGCCACTGTCATCTACCTTCACCACACCAACAACCATCACTCGTCGCCCACCATTATTGTCATCCACTATCACACACCCCCATCATACCTACCACCAACGTCATTCGCCACCACCAATGACACTATCACCTAGATGCACCCATCATCGTCCACCACCACCACTGCCAACCACCACCAATGTCTTCCACCACCACCACCACGACGTTACCCATAACTGTTACTACCAACATCGTCACTCAAAACTCATCATCACTATCATCGTTGTCACTCACAACTGCCACCATCACGACAATCGTCACCACCCACCACAATCATCTCTGTCTTCCACTACCACCACCACTATCTATCACTCATCCCCACTATATATATATATATATATTATTTCACTCTTCAAGGTACTTCAATTAGACAACTTTGTGCAAAACATCTGTCCAATAAATAATATTCTATTTAATAGTAGTCCCTCAATAATATTAAATTGCCCACTAGAGTAAATCAACTTTTTATTTGTCACCCCAATTTAAGCTTCAGATTAAATTAATTCCTTGAGCAAATCAAAAGGATACAGGTAGGGAGAAAAAAGGAAATGAATCACACCTTTTTAGATGACACGTGTCTGTCACATGGTAGATCTCTTTTTGCAAAGCAAAGCACACCCACAAGAGTTGATTCTTGGGATATCGTTGGGTTACGAGGTGCAACACACTTGTAAAAGGCAGGACCTACACGATCATCGAGTCATAGGGATGTTAATTGCGTCGTCTCATCTCATTTTTGTATCGTGTTTTTTTTTTTAATATTTATTTATTTTACTTATTTTATCCGTTAATTTTATTATTTATGCTCACCTTTATTTTGACCTGTTTATTATTTTAATTAAATATATCATTTTTAAATTTTATATCGACTCGGGTTCAAGCCGATGGGTAAAATTGACACCTCGAATGTAATTGAGAGGGCTTTTTTATAGTGGATTATTTTTAAATTTGTATTTTATTGAATTTAGATTCGATTAGTATTATTTATATGAATTCATATATGTGATTAGTTTTTCAAATGAATTTGAATGCTAATTTTATTTTAATAAATAAAACATGCTTCACGATTTGGAATTAGGATGTATTAATTAATTTGGTAATCTAATTTAATACAATTATTAGATTAAAAATAAATTTCTTCTAACATTAAAACTCACAATAAATTTAATTATTGCATTGAATTAGATTCCTAATTAAATCTGATGAGTTTGGATTTAACTGAGTCAAGCCCAATTTAGATAAATCGAGAAAGTCCAAAGAAGCGTCAATTGTCGACCCATCGAGGAGGACACCAAGAGGACAACACCAAAAGCCAACGACCGAAGAAGGAGGAGGACAAGGGAGCCCTTGGGCGCTGCCCATGGCAAGCCCTTGGGTGCCCCTCCTCTTGGTCCTCTTCACCTTGGTACTCCAGGTCCAATCCAAGTCCATGTCCAACTAATGTTCTCCTCCATATGAATAGGAGCAACGGCCGAAGAAGGAGGAGGACAAGGGTGCCCTTGGGCGCCCCTCCTCTTGGTCCTCCTCACCTTGGTGCTCCAGGTTTAGTCCAAGACAAGTCCAGGTCCAGGTCCAACTAATGTTCTTCTCCGGATGAATAGGAGCAACGGTCGAAGAAGGAGGAGGACAAGGGAGCCCTTGGGCACCCCTCCTCTTGGTCCTTCTCACCTTGGTACTCCAGGTCTAGTCCAAGACAAGTTCAGGTCCAGGTCCAACTAATATTCTCCTCCGGATGAATAGGAGCAACGACCGAAGAAGGAGGAGGACAAGGGAGCCCTTGGGCGCCCTTCCTCTTGGTCCTCCTCACCTTGGTACTCCAGGTCCAGGTCCAAAACAAGTCCAGGTCCAACTAATGTTCTCCTCCGTATGAATAGGAGCACGAGGGAAGATAATATGGAGATAGATATAGAAGATCTCCTACCATAACAATACTTGCCAAAGTAATGAATTTTTCTCCCTCACGTCACCGCCTCTGTTACCTTACCCTATCTATATAATGTAAACCCTTTCAACATAAAAGGGCCTCTAACGCCTCCAAGGACCTTCTTAAGACCTCTACACCTTGAAACTTCCAAAACATCTCCGCACGCATCTCTCTCTCAAAAGCACTGTAACTCTCCGGAGATCATGATTCATCAATAAAGAACATCAGGCCACTGCTGCCATTCCCGAGAGTATAGTAGGTCACCCGGACCGAACCATTATAAATCCCTGTGTTGATATATTATTTACTGTTTTACTCTTGATTGCCGTTGATTGCTCATTAATTGCTCATTAATCACACCCTTACACATACTTGACTGTTGATCTTGCACGAAAATAATTTTGTACATCATCAAAATTTCAAAAATTTACATCCAATAAAAATTTATAATAACATTTATACGTTGGACTAATAAACTAATTTTTTTAAAAAAATTATGATAATTTCACAAATTACAATAATAAATTAAAAATATATAATATTTTATCCATAATGTATACCACCATTGAGGGACTATTATTGACTCGAGAAGGATGACAAGTGAATGTAGTAAATGCAAAAAAAAAAAAATGCGAACCGCTGACCGATCAGAGAATTAAGAATTGTTGACTAAAGAATTTTTGGTCAAGGCTGAAGCATGACTTAGACAAATAATTTATCAGTCTCTTGTCTTTTTAAAATACAGTATTTTTAAATTTATTTATCAAATTATAATAATTTTTAAAAACAGAATTAACAAACAAATATAATATTTTAAACTTATTTATCAAATTGCAGTATTTTTTAAAAATTGAATCAACAAATTCACTTTTGTTAAAGAATAGAGTCAACAATTCCACTTTTATTAAAAAATGGGCTCAATAAATAACTCCGACTTAGACTCTATTGAAATTGCTAAAAAAAATTGATATTTATGAGACCTTTTTACTTGACAATTTATAAATAAGAAATATTGATGAAATCTTATCCAGATGGGAATATAATACGATTAAAATGTCAAATCCGATAAATAAATGAGTTGGAATCAATTTAAACATCCCAAACCATCCTCGTCCAAGCATGATGGTGGCAAAGCATTTGGAAGGAAGCTTCAAAGTGAAAGCACCACTTTGCCCAACTTGCATTTCCAGCCACAAAATAAACCCCAAAAGAAGGAAATAAAGAAATCAAAACAATGATTTTAGCGCAGAAAAGTTGGGCAACGTCTGAAAAAGTGAGGTGTGGTTAGAGAGAGAAAATAAGGAGGACTTTGGGGGGTGGCAAATGTAAATAAAACTGCTTAAGTCAGCCGGATAGTACGACTCTCTCCTTCTCTAAATAGCGGAAAGATAGCGTTCAGCCGCCATCTAATAGATTTTTTTAATAGTACTATTTCTTGAATCCAGAGATTATTGGATTAGCGGGTTCGTCAATTTTTTTAAATAAGATTTATTGATCAAAATTCTTTTTGATTTAGATTAAAAATTTGAGGTACATATTATTATTTTAAATTTTTATTGATAAAATTACGAGATCCTTAATTATTTTAATTAATTTTTTTAAATAAATTTAATTAAATTAATATAATGATTGATCATTAAATTCTGATGTGAACTCCAAAAATCAAACTTCAATTGCCGAGAAGTTTGATCGGTACCGGACCGCCCACTCGGTGGTCGGATAAAACGACTGTTCTCCTGTCCCGTAGACTTTTTTATTCATGTTGCAAGTGAGAATCCAAAAGCAAAGAGAGAGAAAGCGCGGAGAGAGAAAACAAAACTTTATCAAATCCAAAAGAAGGAAGAAAAAAGTGAAAGAGAAAAAGGCGAAGAGAAAATCTCAAGGCCACACAAACTTGTGGCTGAGAATTGCTTTTGGTCGATGACGTGGCGGCCCCACTTGGTTAAAACGGACGGAATCATAAACGTAGTGTCGACGACGCCGAAATCAGAATACGAACACAACGCGACCCCCAGCCCCAACGCACACACTTTTCCACAGACACCGTGTATTGTCAGATCTCTCTGAATTACTCTCTTTGTCTCTCAGTAATTTGCACCTTTTTGCCAAGTAAACTTGGATAAGGGAAAGAACACAAATGTCGGAAGTCAAAGATCCAGCGATAAAGCTGTTTGGGAAGACGATTCCGTTACCAGAGATTTCGGCGACGGCGGCCGCCGAGGGCGGCGGAGCTCATCTAACTACATGTTCTGATTTTCCTGGTGATGATGGGCCTACTCAAGGCCATCCTTCTTCGCCCAATTCCTCGCATGATGAGGATAGTATGAGCAGAGCTGGAGAAGAGCAAGACCCAGAGAAGGTATGGATTGACTTTGTAGTTTTTGATTTTCAGTACGACCCTTTATTTGGAATATAAAAAGAAATGATGGGTAGATCTTTGTTTTAAACGTTTAGAGCAGTTTGTTGACTTGGGGATTTTGGGGGACTAATTAGGGTTTTTGATGTGTAGATTGTAACAATATAACTTGAATTTTAAATGTTTTTTTTACTTGGGATTAGAGTAATTATTGCTATATTGTTCAAAGTTGGGATTCTCTGTCATGTTTTTGGAATTGCAGGTTTAGTTAGTTACCTATTCTAATTGTTCCTTTCAGATTCTTCTGTGATGGACTCTAATTTTTTCCACAATCACATGGCTTTCCTTATTAATTCACTTGTTTTGAGGTTCATGTTGATAAATAAGCAGTTAATTGAGTGAGCTTGGTTAAGAAGGGCCAGTCCGTATGTAGATATATGCCTGCTTGACAATCTCTTCAATTGCTGCTGTGTAACTTTAAATAATGGGTGCTTCGAACATCGTATTCATACTAATGTTATCCATTTGACTTAAAATGGTTTTTTCCTTCTTTTTTTTTGTGAAGCCTGATTTACCTTCTTGATCTGTGGATGATCAAGCTTTCTGCTGGTAATACCCCTTTGTTGTCATTCAACTTTAGGTAAATACTGTTCAAGATTGAAGTCATGTGCCTTATGCTAGAAATTGATATTTTCTAATTGAAATCGATGGATAAATTGATCAACTAGATGCACCTTCACCTGGTAATGGTTATGTTTAATGATAGTGTAAGTCCCTGTGCACTTATTTTCCTTTTATGAGCATGGGCTTCTTGTTTCTGTTAGTCCTGTTTGTTTCACACACTGCAGAAATGGTGAGTTGATCGTTGGTGCTTCTTGTTACGTGGCTGTTCCCTATTCCTTTCCTTTATTTTGGTATCGTGCTCTTGGTTGTGGAGAAGAAGTGTTGAAGGACATAGACTCGGAATTCCGTAACGGCCACCAAACCGTACTTGAATACAGAATATGGTTTTTGTTTTGGTAGGTTCTTGATGATCAAATGGACAGTTTGTGTGCTTTGTTGACATAGTTTGAGTTTCTGTTTCAGCATAATGCCATGAAGAATGTGACTGACCTGATTATTACCGACATTTTCTTGACTCACACAATGTAATGCTGTATCTGTTAAGTCTGATGAAACTAGTGGACTATCCTGTGATGTCTTCTGAATTTGACCCAATAATAATTTCAGATCATTGGCCACATGCTAATAGTGCTGTTCAGATTTGGCAAGACTTTAGTTCCAACCAATTGATTTGTGATACTCTTTGAAAATTATGATAAATGCAGGATCAGCCGGAAAGGAAACTTATTGATCCTAAAGATGAGGGTGGAACCCAACCTTTGACTTCAGAGCAGTTACCAGATAGATATGCAACGTCAGCAACACAAAAGAACTCAGAAATATCAGCTTCTGATGATGATAATGCGGCTGTGAAAAGTATGGAGACTGGAGAAGAACAGAATGAGACAAGTAACTCACAAGAGAAGACCCTAAAGAAACCAGACAAAATACTTCCATGTCCCCGCTGCAATAGCATGGACACCAAGTTCTGTTATTACAATAATTACAATGTCAACCAACCCCGGCACTTCTGCAAGAACTGCCAGAGATACTGGACAGCTGGTGGAACCATGAGGAATGTGCCTGTTGGTGCTGGTCGCCGGAAGAACAAACACTCGGCCTCCCACTACCGTCACATAAGCGTCTCAGAAGCTCTTCAGAATCCCCGAGCAGATATTCCAAATGGACTTCACCACCCTACTCTGCAACCCAATGGTACTGTCCTTGCCTTTGGATCAGATAAACCCCTTTGTGAGTCAATGGCTTCAGTTTTGAATATTGCTGAAAAAACAGTGCGGAACTGCTCACAAAATGGGTTTCATAAATCAACAGAACTAAGAATTCCAGTTTCTTATGCAGTTGGCGAAAATGGTGAAGATCATTCTAGTGGATCTTCAGTCACTGCTGCAAGTTCAATGGATGAGGTTGGTAAAACTGTGCTGCCCGACCCAATGATGCCGAACTGTCAGAGCTTTCCACCTCAGGGACCATGTTTTACCGGGCCTCCTTGGCCTTACCCATGGAATTCAGCTCAGTGGAGCTCTCCAGTATCCTCGCCTGCTTTCTACCCTGCTGGCTTTCCTATGCCATTCTACCCTGCAGCACCTTATTGGGGTTGTACTGTGCCAGGAACTTGGAACCTCACTTGGGTCACCCAGCCTCCTATGTCTCAAAACCAGATGGCCCCTCCTCCAGGGCCCAATTCTCCATCCTTGGGGAAGCATTCAAGGGAATACGACATGCTTAAATCAACCAACGAACACAAAGAAGGGCCACAAAAAGAGAGTGATCCTGAGAAGTGCCTTTGGGTTCCAAAAACTTTGAGGATTGAGGACCCTGGAGAAGCTGCAAGGAGCTCTATATGGGCGACACTGGGGATTAAACATGATACAGCAGATTCTATTCGCGGAGGAGGTCTCTTTAAGGCTTTCCAATCAAATGGTGACAAAAAGAATCACACAGAAACCTCTACGGTATTACAAGCCAATCCAGCAGCATTGTCGCGATCGCTAGACTTTCATGAGAGTGCGTAAGTGGATGGCTGGAAAAGCTTTGTGAATGATACATAATGGTGGCAACGGAAGCACAAAGACTTTTTAGTTCATGTGAATTCGCTCTGAATTTTAATGTCATATTGTGACTTCACCAGGCCTGATTAGCCAGCCACTCTTTAGAAGAATCAGTTCTCGATGGACCAACTGGGAAAAGCAGACAAGAGACTCCTGTTTGCTAATAGAAAAGAAACTCCTGTGACATAAATCTCAAGAGAAGGGAGATAGAATTCGTTGGCTGAGGTAACAACTGATTTCTACTTGTCTTTGGGTGGAAGTTCAAATAGCTTCTTTTTGATCTCAATTAGATGTTACGCTGAGTTCTTAGTGCATGTACATATTCTTATTTGAAGTATTAAGAGCATAAACAGATTCCCATATGCAGTAAAATAAATTTGGTAATAAAACTCAAGCATTTCTCCTTGAACGCATACTTTTCAGAAGAGCACTCTTTTTTCGGTAAGTTTGTCGTAGGAGAAACTGAGATTTGGTGGGAATTCGAATCTACACCAGTTAAATTAAAATTTGTGTTTCGGTGGGTATTCAAATCTACACTAGAGACTTGGATAAGGTTCTTCTAAGTAATTGAAGTTTGTCCTATCAACCAATCACCTATTTTTTGTTCAAGAGATTTAAACTCTTAACTTTAAGAAGATAAAACGTAAAACTTGATTTTTTCTCCCAAAAAATAAAATAAAAATATAGATTTGATTTTATGTCGACAGGCTATGCACTAGTGCCTTGTGAGTGCCAAAGAATCCAAACAACTAGCACCAAAAGGTGGATGTGACTGTCAAAGTTTCAGTTTCTTTATGCGTTCCCTTGTTCCTTTCTTTTCATCGGTAGGTAAGAAATAGACTTCTTAAATTTCACCGTCGGATCAAGTGGATTTCCTTTGAATGGCCTGTTGCTTTGACGGTGATTCCTGTGCTATAGGTGACAGAACATTTTTACCTCCAAAACTATATGCAACTTGGGCGGGTTGAAATGTTAGCCTTAACTTAATTCTAGGTGTATAATCTTTAATTCTAACACTAATTTTAATCCGATCTCAACCCGAAATACTCAACTTGAGTATTGTCTAAATTTAATTCGGACGGGTTTGGGTTGAATTCGGGTTACTTAATTCTGTCTAATTTTGGGTTAAAAATTGGGTTGTGGTCGGTTTACTTAATTCAGGTTGATAAAAAGGATAGGAGTGACTAGTGAGAGAGGGACTCTGAGACAAGACATAGACGAGTGAAAGAGGAATCTGAGAGTGATGGAGGCACAGAGAGTGAAGACTTGAAGTGAAGTGAAAGTCTGGATTTTGAAGAGTGAAGATAAATATTAAGTTTAGTTAAATAAATTTATATATTTATATATATTCGGGTTGAACCCGACAACTTGAGGACTCAATTTAATTCGGGTTGAAATTTTTTTGTCCAAGCTTAAATCAAGTATTAAAAATTTTAACCCAAATTTTATTTTTTCGGATTAGATTCAAATTGAATTCGGGTTGGCCCATTTCAAATTGCACCCCTATCCAAAACCCTTGTTCAGATCTGTATTCTACAGAATCTTGACCTTGCCCTGCAGGTTTCTACTATTCTTCAAGTGAGGTATCATACAAAAAATTATTAATCGATAGTATTTGATTCCAACTTTTTTGGGTTAAGATAACTTCCTATTCAATGAGATTTATTTACAACCCAAAAAAACTTTACCATAAACAATCCCATTTTATGATAACTTGATTAGGTTTAGCGTTGATCTCGCCTCCATTAGGTAGTAACCTTGGTACTGTTTAGAAAAAACTGTTGAACACTTCCTACCTTGCATTTTTCAACAACTAACAGTCCCTCCACCAAATGCATACTCAAAATCTTACATTATCAGCAACCAACAGTCCCTTCACCAAATCCATACTCAAAATAAGCAAATATTATCACTAAGCCGAAAAATAAATTAGAGTTTGTGGTTGCATGAAATGTGTGCCTCACTCACATAATCAAATTGTCATTATGATCAATCTTACTTAGATTGCTAAAACAAATTTGGACTTTTTTGCTTAAACAATTGGGAGGTTCTTTATGAAATACAAAATACAGCTAAATCCTCAAA